TTTTTTAAACTCGAATTTCAAACCAATAAAATATTGATGAACTACTTACAATATTTAACAAGAAAATGTTTAGTGGACCTAAGTTAACTAAAGTTCTAAACCTGGTTTTATAAGGACGTCCATGCGGTAAAACCTACAGGTTACAAGACCAGGACCGGACCTGGACTGGACTTTACCATATCTAATGCCAACCTCAGTTTCTACACCAATCTCAGTTTCTATACCAATCTGATGTGGATGAGAATACCTCATCCATATCAGCTAAGAGAAAAAGGTTTACTGAACCTGGTAAGACAATATTTGACATCTGGGGTTTTTTTCATAATATTTCATTTTACTCAAATATATTAAATATATAATTTGTATTGATTTATTAGGAGAAAAGCTTAGTCAAGAAAAGGCGTTGTCTTGCATTCCACCGCCTGTTTGTATCCAGAGGATACCAGCGAATCTCGAACCACTCGGTATGTGGGCGGTCTAATCCCACATATCTCACACGGAATTCAATTCCTTAGACAGACCTTAAAATATTATTTGACCAAATGAAATTATATTTGAATCTCAATAAATTCATTCGTTTATTATCTTTGCAAGATGTCAAGTTGGAGTGGAAGCAATATTAGATGTACTCATCACGGATGGGTCTCTAATATTGCTAAATCTTATTTCAAATAATTTTAGCAAAACTACTTGGATGAGCTTTTTCGACATGGCAAATCAATATAGGTTTGACCTACCGAAATTGCAGCTTCATACATCCATCCCATTTGTGAATTTACGAAGATACAGAATGTTATAAGGATATTTATCCATGCGCCAAGATTCGACGAACAAAATTTCACCAAGAATATTTAATAAAGTATTAATTGATTTAGTAAATGATTTTGTTTTCTTCGATACTTCAAAATGTAAAACGATCGTTGCAATCTTTTAAAAACATAAAATCCAATAACATAATATTTTAAAAATACACATTGTTCGCCATAACCAAATTTTCACTAATGATAAATGAAAAAAGAAATAAAATTATAAAAACTAATTAGGCAAATGCAATTACACCAGAAAATCTTATAGATGTTATTTTGAATGCTCTTCCGGAAGACTATAACTCTGATTATTTATTTGAGCAAAAAGTTTTATATTCTGAATCCAGAACGCAACAAAAAAATTATTATAGAAAACATGATTAATCCAAATAGTAACAAATAGGTCGCTAATACATAAATTGGAAGAGGATTATAATCATTTTAAAAGGCAATGGAGTACTTAATAATAATATTTTCTGACTGTAATAAATATTACGTTTATCGAGTTTATTTGAAATAATAAAATGATTAATTTATTGTTTATTGTTATTATTTTTTAGTCTATAAATTTTTTGTTTGTTCAAGTCAAATGTCTTCGATATATTTGTCACGTGATGTTCGAAACTTTTTTGGGTGGCGATTTTACCCCGGTCGTGGCTTTACGACGTTCTTTGGTGGCTTTACGGCATTCTTGGGTGGCACTATGGTGTTTCTGCAAGTTTTTTTGTGTTCCAGATGACTTTACAGCATTCTTGGTAGGTTTTATGCATTTATGGGTGGCACTACGATATTCTTGGGGACTTTATGGTGGATAAGATATTAGTAGTATTTTCATATATATACAGTATTTATTTTTTAGAAATAAAAAAAATAAATTATTATAATATGTTATTATATGGTTATAAATGACCACTCCTATTAAAACTTAGGGTCACTTGATTGTATTTTAATTGTTTTAGGATGGGTTTAATATCTTTCAACAAAACTTCGAAAATTATTAAATAACTTGGCCATTTTCGTAATGAATTATTTGAAGATAAATTAAAAGCCAGAGACTCATAATTAGCATAAATAAATTCAAGAGGGTTTTTATAAAATTGATCTGCTTCATCTAAGTACTCTTCTAGATCGATATCATGACTGAATCCATCATTATTATAAAATAATCGATGAAAATACTTCATACTAAATATATATATTTTTATAGAGAACTTACTTCAAGGGGGTTCACAAGTTAAAACCACATTTACAGATTTCTATGCAAATTACTATGGTACTAAAAATCCAATATCTTTAACATTCCCTTTATCAGTCTCATCTCTCAAATAGTTCATAACCTCTATGACACCACTTTGATGAACTGTCGCAGCATAATATGCTACAGGAACACTTGTAATTACCAAAATATTATGGAAAGTTTTAACCACACTGATTTGTTTGAATTTGTTGAAGAGTTTGCTAAACGTGAATTTTTCGTAATGGAAATTTCATCAATACCGATTCCAGAGATAATTACCAAAATAGGTAATAAAGGATATATAAATCTAAATTCTTTATGTCCCAAGTATACTATAACATAGCAGAACCCAAACGCATAATTGCAAGAGGGGTTTGATACGATTCCAACGTAGAGGATTTTGTCTTGCAAAGTAAATTCCGATCGCGATGAATGGGATTAAGGTGGTTTATATAACTGGCAGCCCCAATGCCATGGGTGGGCACCATAAAATAAAGAAATTGATTTAAATACGTTGAAATAGAAAAAATTGAGCGGTACAAGTACAAATGTTCCATAAAATTTAGAATTTATCATTATCAATATTGTAGCTGCAATAATGCTAAATAAAAAGAAAGGAGACAAAAAATAATGAGCAAAGTTTAAGAACAACATTATATATAAAAATATTATGAAATATACAGATATGGTATGTTTTGGCATTTTCAAAAGAAGGTGGATACCTAAGAAACTCCATATTATCATATTAGTCGGCCGAAAAATGCAAGAAATTGCGGCTAAACTTAATGATACGCGCAACATTCTGGAATCCAAATTCCCCATTTTCAAATATTATTAAATTATTATTGGAAATCACAAATCATAAGTCTTACATCTCTCGCTCATTCTGATTTCTTGGTGTATCCAATGAAGGCCAAGGCCAATAAAACAATGCTATAATAGTAAGACTTGTCTCAATGCTATTCGAAAACGTGCGAACCAAATAAAAAAAATTAAACCAAGATATTATAGAACAAAAAAGCTAATTACGAAAAGTAAAGACCATGATAAATAATTTGAACAAAAATGTTTTTAACAATAATACGAATTTAGTGATACATACAGTCCATTTCGCAGATGAATCAGTAAATAATTTTTTAGCCAAACGATATGAATAAAAATCACTTAAAGCAGCAAAGACAGCTTGTAAAAGTTTTGGCGCGTATATCTACGTATTAGATAATGATTTATTTTATATAATGTGTATAAAAAATCGATAGTTTTTAATAAAAGTTTATAGTTACAAATAAATTTCCGTCATCAAGTCCTACTACTGTACTAAAGCCAACACTTTATATAACGTTGCAAATACTAAAGGGTGAGCAAAACTCCTTAAAGTAACCATAAGTTTAAATTAAATTAAGAATAATAATTTTTTGTTTAGATAAAATAAATATGTTTCAATAAAAAAAAATTAATCGGATATCCAAAAACCATATAGTATTCACGGATTAAAAAATGTTTTTTGTTAAAATAGCCTAAATAATATTAGAGATGCGAATAATAATTTTTTATTATTAATAATAAAAATTGAGAATGCATTGTCGAAAGGAATTTCGGTTTTTTGGTGAAACATCGGTGGTAGCTTGTAGGTTTTCAGCACGTCGTCGTTGAAATACAACCATATCGATATTAAAATTGAGATTTCATAGTAAGCTTGATTTCATTGGTTGATAGACAAGAATTCTGATGTGATCTCTCGTAACAATGCCTGTCTGTTCGTTGAATATACGATGATCAATCATATGATGTTAATTTGCGCGTAGATTCGCATATAAATATTTGGTTGAACTAATTTCTTTGACGACATACCTTCTCAAACGTACAGTATTTTCCTTTTATTATTCATTTGAGTTTTGTCTTTAGTGAACATTATCATTAATATTGTTTTTTTTTTCTTTTTACACCTTAAGCTCCACTAAACATTTTCTTGTTAAATATTGTAAGTAGTTCATCAATATTTTATTGGTTTGAAATTCGAGTTTAAAAAATAAATTAAAAACAATTCAAAAAATATTTTTTAGGACTTCACCTGATGCCTGCCTGCAGAAATAAGGTAATGTATGTATCTGGCAGAGAAAAAATGGCATTGGGCTCATTTTTGAGTATTTAGTATTCATGATTTTTGTAAAACTGAGTTTTTTCTCCTGCACAAGTCTACTGATTCTGAAGGAAGGGTTAGATGTTCCTTGTTGCGGTAAAAAGTTTTGCAAAAGATTGGAAATTATTTACAAGA